ATTTTTATTTCATAATATTATTTTATTATTAATTGATGTGTGTGTGTGTGTGTGTGTGTGTGAACTATTTTAATAATTCATTTACCTTTTTTATTAAATGATTAATTTATTGATTTAATATTTTATTTTATATAATATTAATAAATTATGAATTAATTAAAACCCTAAGGAAGGTCAATTGACTGAAATTTAGCTAATAGAAAATATCTGTGGTGCACATTTGAGTAGTGTGAAGGATTTATACTTTTTTTTTTTTTACTGTAATTATAAAATATGAACCAATTAATAGTTAAATAAAATATTTTATGATACATATTTTAAGTATAATGTAAAATATAAGTCAATTAATGATCAAACAACTTAAACATTTAATTTATTCATATTTTTATATTTGTGTATGTACATAAAGAAATCATGTTTTGCACAGTAAGTCATCATAATCATCCAGCAAAAATGGTTATAAAATAGTTTCATATGTATTATTTTTGTTATATGTAATATTATTATTATTATCATTATTACTTGTATAAAAATATAACATACATATAATTTTTAGCCTATTGTAAATGATGTTTACAAGCAAGTCCCCCTTGCAGAATGTGAAAAAACAACGTTTTAAACATCACAGTCCAAATGTATAATTTTGTCAAGCATGTAAATTGTTGAGCCCTGATGTTGATTAAATATCTGTCCATCTCGTGTAATTCCTGGATTTTACCCCCGACTGGTTACAGGTAACTGAAGAAATCTACCTCAACCCAGCATAACCTATGCAATGGACAGGTGTGGACCAATGGGCTCGACTCGCTCGCCGGTGCTCAAACATTTGCTAAAGCCGCCACTGTAAAACTGATATGGGTATCAGAACTTATCACAGGTGCAGCTTAACACACACACACACACACACACGGCCCCTGAATCAGATTCAGATTAACACAGTATGCAGCTTCCTTGTTTTTCAGAGTGTTTTAAGGTGGCACCATGTTGGGCTGATGCTAACAGCCATTTATCAATAATTGCGAGTTTAGCATAGCCTTACAGATGGGTGGTTTACTAAATTTACAGGTATCTTCTGGTTGATTCACAATCAATGCCACAGGAAGTGGTTTAAATGTCAGGAATATCATTTCAGTCAGTACGGTCTCAATAGGCCGTACACAAAAAAATGACTTGTGAATCTCTGTAACCTTGCTGCTGTTATCAGTGGAAAGAAATGTGGCTTTTTGTGATTTACAACTCCTATTCGGATGGACTCCATGAAGCCCCTGGAGCCTGATACAATTCCCATGCTGGGACATCACCCTTACAGCCTGAGCTTGTGCTGTGAACTCACTATTATGGTGAAATTGATGTTAACAAATAGTGTAGTAGTTACCTTGGCTTGGGAATGTTAACATCTCATCATATTAATTGTTTGCCTTATAAGGTGAAATATGTAGGAAACCACAAGCTCCAGCTGTATAAGGGTGAATTTCCAAGTGATATTTTACCTCAGCAAGAAGACTATTTGAAATTATTGCATATTAAAACCAAGGATTTTTTTGTAATTGTGAAAATTTTTCATGACTGTTAAGCACATTTTCCCAAAATTCTCATTACAATAATGGAAGAAAATGCATGAATCTGTTTTTTTAATTATAATTTGATCATTATTTATATTTATATATATATATATATATATATATATATACATATATATATATA